CCCTCCGTCCTCATCCAGGAGCTGCGGGCGGCGCGGGAGCTGCGGGAGCTCAGGGCGTGCGGGGCTCCGAGGGTCCTCGAGGGCCGCAGGGCTGCCGCCCCCTTTCGGGTCCATTCCTGGTGAGACATGGCAGGGGCGGTGAGCCCCTGGGGGGCCGCCGGTCCAGGTGGGAGTCCTCCCCGCGAAACCCCAAAACACAGCCCCTCCAAGGAGAAAGTCACCACCACCAGGCCGGTCCTGACCCTTCCTGCACTCGGGCCTCTCCAAACGGGGCTCTTGAATCTTTATCCAAAGTGAAAAACTGGGACAAGAAAACCAGGCTCAGAGATGTAAAGTTCCTTCCTAGCGGTCACACAGGTAGTACCTGGCCAGCCCTGCCCGCCTGCCTCTGTTCCAGGTTGCCTCTGCTGGGAGGTGGTCCTGCCACCAGGCCCCGCTGCGGCCCCAGCCTAAATCCAGGAAGAAGCTTCAGCCCGGGGCAGCCCCCTCATTGGCTGTCCTGAGACAGGCTCCAGTGGGGGCTGGTGTGAGGAGATGAGCTGAGCCAATCAGATTCTTGGCTCTGGAGTTGTCAGACCCTGGCTTACTGAGTGACCTCAAAAACCCACCCAGGAGGTCACTAAGGGCCCAGTGCCTACTGAGGCAGAGAGGGAACAGAAATGTGAATGGGGCAGGGGAGGGCCAGGGAGAGGCGAGGGGCAGTGGATGGAGAGAAGCCCACCCAGCATCTTAAAGCAGGGTCTCCTGGGCCCTCAGCTGTCCAGCTGCCTTCCGGCCCTGGCCTCCAGCATCCACATGACAAACTGTGGAAGCTGGTCCCAGCAAGTCCTGAAGGTCCACCTGCACCTCCAAGAGCATCCTGACAAGCTGAGCACCTGTAGGCCTCAGGCAGGTACTGGAGGAAGGGCCTGGAGGGGTCCTGGGGCAGACACCCTGGACCTGGGTGGGTATTCAAGGACACACACAGGAGCAGCAGCTCAGGGCCCAAGGCATGGCTTCAGAGGTTCATTTCCGAAGTGTCTTTAAGGGGTGTACAAGGTAAACAGACAACAGCGACAGCGCTGGTGAGGGCGGAGGAGCCTTGCTGGAATTCCCACTCCCATCCCCACCCCACCCCCACCCCACCCCCATAGAGCTGGTAGGTGGAGTCAGAGGCCAGGGATCCGTAGGGGAGGTAACCGCAATGGCAGGGAGTACTGAGCCCCTCAGAGCTCCCCACCCCACCTCCTCCCAGCAGCCAGGGTCTCACTCAGGGCTTCCGCTCCTACAGGCCTGTGGTGGTGTTTAAGCCCCCACACCTCCACCCATGCTGTTCCCTCCATTTCTCTACACCCTGAATCTGTGCTTGGCCGTGTGACTTGCTTTAGCCAATGGGACCTTAATAAACATCTTGCAAACAGAGGCTTTAAAAATCTGTGTCTCTCCATGTTACCGGGGCTGGTGAGGGTAAGTTAGTGTTGAGTGGGGACAGTTTCAGTTTGGGATGATGATAACGTTCTGGAGGTGGGTGGTGGTGATGGCTGAACAACAATATGAATGTACTTAGTGCCTCCGAACTGTATACTTAAAAGTGGTTAAGATGGTAAATCTTATATCTTTTTTGCCAGTTTTTTAAAAGCCTGTCTCTCCTGCTGATCACTAAAAATGCTAGACAAAATACAAAAGAAACCACCCAAAGACCCCAAAAAGTGAACAAAACAGGTAGATTATGGAGTGGAATCAAAATGCAGAAATGACCATAAAGGGGGTGAATTTCCCCTTTTTTTCCCTCTTGTTTCCCTCAAAGCTCGGAGCGCCAGCCCCAGAGCCACAAGACAGAGCAGCAGAATGGGACGGGCAGCTAACACTCCACTAGAAACCCTGTCATTCCGGCCAGAGGAACCAGGAAAGGGCCCCCGCAGAGTGGAAAGAGTGGGGAAATCCTAGAGAAGAACTAGCTTCGGGGGGGAACCCCCTCGTTCTGTATGTGAATTGGGGCGACCAACATACTCAGTTTGTCCAGGACTTCCTTGAGTTCACTGCTGACAATCACACGTCCAGGGAAAGCCCTTGGTCTCAGGCCAACTGAGAGGAATGGTTCATCATCTCAGAATGAAGCCACACAAGTCCTAGACTCACTCCCAAGCTGCAGGTGTAGGGGACAGACTCAGACCAACATGGGAAAGACTCTGAAAACTGGACCACCAAAACAGCCAGAAAACAGTGAAAAAAATGGCAGTAACTGCATACCTATCAATTACTTTAAATGTAAATGGACTAAATTCTCCAAAAGACAAGAGTGACTGAATGGATGAAAAGATCTGTATGCTGTCTGCAAGAGACTCACCTCATTTTTTTCTGTTTAATGGAGATACTGGGGATTGAACCCAGGACCCCAAGCATGCTAAGCATGAGCTCTACCACTGAGCTGTACCCTCCCCACTAAGACTGACTTCAGATGTAAGCACACGTACAGACTAAAAGGAAGGAATGGAAAAACATATTCAATGTAAAAAGAAACCAAAAAGTGTGGGGTAGCTATACTTGTATCACAAAAAGAGACTATAAAACAAAGACTGGAATAAGAGACAAAGAAGGGCATTACATAATGATAAAGGGAGTCAACCCAAAAGAAGACATCACATTTGTAAACACGTACGCACTCAACAAATGGGCACCTAAATATAAGAGCAAATATTAACAGACCTCAAGAAAGAAAGCAGTAATAGGAGACTACTTTAATACCCACCTTACATCAATGGATAAATCAACAAGACAAAAAAAAAATCAATAAGGAAATACACCTTAAGGACATGTTAGACCAAATAAACTCAACAGAAATGTACAGAACATTACATCCAAAAGCAACAGAATACACATTCTTATCAAGTGCTCATAGACCATTCTCCAGGATAAATCATCGAAGACCACAAAGTAAGCCTTTAAAAACTTAAGAAGTCATATCAAGCATCTTTGCCAACCACAACTGTATGAAACCAGAAATCAATTACAAGAAAATTGGACAATTCACAATATGTGGGGATTAAACAACGCTACTAAAAAATTGAATTTAATTTAAAAATAAAAATTCCAAAGATAAAACAAGTACAAAAGTAAAAAATAGAAAAAATGAAAAACAGAAAAAGGGAAAAAATAAAAAAGAACCCCCCCCCAAAAAAATGCTACTGAACAACCAGTAGGTCAAAGAATAAATCAAACAGAAATTAAAAAAATACCTTGAGAAAAATTAAAATAGATATAGGATAGTGAAACTCAGGCGATGCAGCAAAAGCAGTTCTAAGAGGAAAGTTCCTAATAGTAAATGTGTGTCCAACAGCAAAAATCTCAAACATTCTAACTTTATACCTCAAGGAACTCGGGGAAAAAAAAGCCCAAAGTTAGTAGAAGGAAGGAAATAACAAAGATCAGAGTGGAAATAAATTTTAAAAAGACTATAAAGACAGTAGAAAGTATCAGTGAAAGTAAGAGCTGGTTCTTTGAAACGACAAACAAAATGGACAGATCTTTAGCTAGAATCATCAAGAGAAAGGATTCAAATAAATAAAATAAAGAATGAGGGGGGAGGGTATAGCTCAGTGGTAGAGCGCACACCTAGGAGGCTTGAGGTCCTGGGTTCAATCCCCAGGACCCCACCCCACCCCCAGCTAAAAGAATAAATAAATAAACCTAATTACCTCCCCTCTCCAAAAAAGAAAAACAAAGACAAAAAAAACCTCCCAACAAACAAAAGTCCAGGACCAGATGGCTACTAAGCATTCAAAAATTGAATAGCAATCCTTCTCAAACTTTACCCAAAAAATAGAAGAGAGAGAACACTTCCAAATTCATTTTATGAAAGCGGCATTACCCTGACACCAAAACCAGAAAAGGACGCCGCAAGAAAATCAGAGCCCAACATACCTGATAAACATGGATGTAAAAATCCTCGACAAAAAAATCAGCCAATACATTTCAGCAATACATTAAAAGAGTCATGCCTCATGATCAAGTGGGATTTGTTTCAGAGATGCAAGGATGATTCCACATCTGCAAAAATCAATTACTGTGGTACACCACAGTAACAAAATGAAGGACAGACATCATATGATCACCTCAATAGGTGCTGAAAAAGCATTTGACAGAATTCAGTATCAATTTATGATAAAAACTCTCAACAAAATGGGTATAGAGAGAATGCACCTCAACATAATAAAAGTCATATGTGATGAGCTCACAGCCAATATCATATGAATGGTAAAAAAATGAACAGCATTTCCTTTAAGATCAGGAACAAGACAAGCGTGCTACTCTCACCACTTTTATTCAAAAGTATTGGAAGTCCTAGCCACAATAATCAGACAAGAAAAAGAAATGGAAGAAATCCAAATTGGAAAGAAGAAGTAAAACTGTCACTACTTCAGATGACATGATGTTATATATAGAAAACCTTAAAGATTCCACCAAAAAACTGTTACAACTAATAAATGAATTCAGTAAAGTTGCAGAACACAAAATCAATATACAAAACTCTGTTGCATTTCTATATGCTAATAACAAATTAAGAAAATTAAGAATTTCTTAAGAAATTAAAAAAATCCCATTATCAAGTAGAATAAAATAACTATCAAATAGAATACTTAGGAATAAATTTAACCAAGCAGATGAAAGACCTGTACACTGAAAACAATCAGATGTTAAAGAAAGATATTGAAGAAGATACAAAATAAATGCAAAGATATTCCATGCGCATGGATCAGAAGAATTAATGTTAATTAAATGTCCATGCTACCCAAAGCAATCTACAGTTTCAGTGCAATTCCTATCAAAATTCCAATGGCATTTTTCACAGAAATAGGAACAATCCTTAAATTTGTATGGAACTGCAAAAGATCCCACAAATAGCCAATGAAATCTTGAGAAAGTCCATTGACAGATGACTGGATAAAGAGGCTGTGGTATATTTATACAATGGAATACTACTCAGCTATAAACAATAATAAAATAATGCCATTTGCAGCAACATGGATGGATCTTCAGAATGTCATTCTAAATGAAGCCAGAAAGAGAAAGAAAAATACCATATGATATCACTCATATGTGGAATCTAAAAAAAAAAAAAAAAAAAAAAAAGACAAACGAACTTATTTACAAAACAGAAACAGACTCACAGACATAGAAAACAAACTTATGGTTACCAGGCGAGGAAGGGAATGGGAAGTAATAAATTGGGAGTTCAAGATTTGCAGACACTAACAGATAATTATTTGCAGATAATATATATAAAATAGATAAACAACAAGTCTATACTGTATAGCACAGGGAACTATATTCAATATCTTGTAGTAACTTATGGTGAAAAAGAACATGAAAATGAATATGTATGTTCCTGTATGACTGAAGTGCTGTGCTGTACACCAGAAATTGATACAACATTGTAAACTGACTGTACTTCAATAAAAATATTTTAAAGAAAGAAAGAAATCTTGAGAAAGAACAAAGCTGGAAGTATCATGCAGCCCAACTCCAAACTATACTACAAAGCTATAGTAATCAAACAGCATGGTATTGGCATAAAAAACAGACACATAGATCAATGGAACAGAAGACAGCCCTGAAGAAAACCCATGGACGTATCATCAATTAACGTATGACCAAGGAGCCAAGAATACACGATGGGAAAGGACAGTCTCTTCGATAAATGGTGTTGGTTGCAGGGAGGGTGCAGCTCAAGTGGTAGAGCTCATGCTTAGCATGCATGAGGTTGTGGGTTCAATCCTTGGTATGTCCTCTAAAAATAAATAAATAGACCTAATTACTTACCCTCAAAAATTAAAAAAAAATTTAAAGTGTTAGGAAAACCAGACAGTACATGCAAAGAATAAAACGGGACCACTATCTTACACCATACATAAAAGTTAACTCAAAATGGATTAAAGACTTGATCCATTTTGATCCATTTATATACACATATACACATTTATAAACACATATACACATTTATAATAGAATATTATTCAGCCACAAGACCTGAAACCATAAAACTCCCAGAAGAAAACACAGGCATAAGCTCCTTGACATCAGTCCTGACAATGATTTTTTTAGATATGAAATCAAAAACAAGCAACAAAAGCAAAAACACTCAAGCTGGGACTACATCAGACTAACACGTTTCTGCACAGCAAAGGAAACCACCAACAAAATGAAATGGCAACCTATCTAATGGGAGAGAATATCTGCAAATCACATATTTGATAAGGGGGTTGATACCCAAAATACATTAAAAAGAATACAACTCAATAGCAAAAGATAAACCACAATTAAAAGTTGGCCACAG